TTTAGTTTTTAAATTATTATTTTTTAAATGTTTATTTATAGTTTAATTTTTAATGAATATTATATTTAATATACCACCCATAGTAGAAAACCAAATTCAACTTAAATCTGTAGCTTGGCTCAGCCTAATTAATGGTAAGCTTATCATCTGCGGCTTTCTTCCACTAAATCTACTTAAAAATATTACGCCAATGTTGCTTGTATTGCATGTCTATGGGTGATTGGCTTTTTTCTTTCCGTCTACTTGTTTTTTATTATTCAATGCTACGTTTTAACACCTAGAACCATGCTGCTTGTTAGCCAATGGTCACCCTCAAATCGGTCAATAAACAAACAAATATTGGCGGGGCTAGACAAACATAGCTTGTTTGTATGTGTCACTGTGTGTGTGTGTGTGAGTGAGTGTGTGGCATGTGTGTGTGCGCACTGGCTGTAACAATAAACAACGAACACGCAGCAACAATAACAGCAACAACAACAAGAGCTACACATGCTGCTGTCCCAGACCAAACACGCGACATTGGCTCGGCTTAACTCGACGATGCGACGCAACACGACTCGAATCGACTCCACTCGACTCGACTGAGCTCAGTTCGGTTTGTTTTGGGTTTTGTTGCGTTTTTGGCGTGGCTCGAATTAGCCGGCACAGGGTCTCAAACTTGAGTCCCCGGGGTCTAATTTGGCTTGCATAAAATATGCATAATAATCAAAATAAAATAAATCAAACGGCGCTAAGCAAATGCGAGTATTTATTACAGCAGCAAACGAAAGTTGGGACACTGGGAGAAAGGAATTATATATAACGTATACACACATATATATATATATATATGCTATATAGTACAGTATACATGGAGTATATATATAATAATCAAATAAGCACTGCGCGCTTTGCATTGTAAGATGAGCTGAACGAAGCGTGGCCACTTACTCCAAGTGTGCTTCACATACAAACACACACACACAGACAGACACGCACACACACCACTCTACTTGAAGTGGTTGGGCGTGGCGTTGTGGTAGCATGAGAGCAAAAGTGTTTTTATTACATTTACGTGCAAAAATTTGTTGCATGTTCGATGGCTAAGCTCGTGTAACGGAAACGTTGCTCTGTGTATTGGTTTAGCATGGCATACAAATACAATTGACAACGGCCAACGGCCAACGGGCAGCAGGCAGCGGATGGCGCTGGGGCGTGCCAAACCACCAAAAAGGAAAAGTGAAGAGAGGAAAAAAAAAAAAAAACAATTTTTGGCAGTGGCTCACTGTGCGCATAGGTATGTGTGTATGTGTGTGCGTGTGTTTATCTAAGGCTAGCCACACAATGCTTTTTGTTGCTTTTGTTGGATGCTGCCTATTTACTTGTCTGGCAATCGTTGTTGTTGTTGTTGTTGTTGCTGTGGCTGTTGTTGTTTGCTCAGTGCTGCAATGCAATAAAAGTGTCCTTACACATTTATTTAGCAATTTCTTTTGTTATTATTTTTGGCATCAGCAGCGTATTTTTGCTTTTGTGCGTCAGCTTTAAGTGGTTGCCATGTAAGCGACACACACACACACACACATACACACACGCACAGCCACACAGAACAAACACAAATGAATTCATTGGATTTCCAGTGGCACCTCCGTGCCCCTGCTCTCCCCCCTCGTCTCTTTGTCTTTTCAACTTTAAGCTGCTCATGACTTTAAAAATTTTGGGCTGCTTTTGTGTTTGCGAATGAACTTTGCGTGGCAAATTAAAAAGGCCGCAGGTGGCATGTGGCATGCGGCATGCGGCGTGCAGTGTTTGCCAGCTGAAAGGCGGCAGGTGTCAAGGGGGCGGTCGATTCACAAGCAGTCGAATAACGTCCACGATGTCTGCCAGCCACGCACTCCTCCGCACTCCCCACTCCAGCGTGATTCACCTGCTTTACTCTTGCGTTTGTATGCATGAGTTGGCACTCAAATGCCGCTGGGTCGTCTGTGTCTGGACCAAGCATTCGAACAATGAACGCCAGCAACTCTTTGCCAGTTGCCAACTGGTCAACAGTGCGTATGTATGTGTGTGTGTGTGGGTGTGTGAGTGTGAGTGTGTGTGTGTAGGATAGAGCTTGTTGCTTTTTAATTAATAGAAAAGTCCTTTGTAGAGTAATAAATAAATATTATGCTTTTGCTTTTGCTTTTGCGCTTTTTTCGTTGCGTTCTCGATTGCCACTCAGTACACACACATATATATAAATACATATATACACATATACATCTGCATATATAGATAGGCAAGTGTGTTTGTGGTTCTTTGACTATCTGCTATCTGGCGGGTGCAAAGAGCGTAGCGCAACCCGTTAAAAGGCTTACAACTTTGTACACTTTTTTTTCGCTCTTTCTTTCCATTAAGCCATGTGTTCCCATTGATTCCTATTGTGGCGCTGGCAGGATAATTGAGGAGGTTTTTAGGGCTGCTAATTGGAAAACCAAAAGGCGTATAAATTCTCAGCAAAATTCTAATGGAATCATAAAAAATTGAAGAGCCAAAAAGGAGTATTTTATTTTTGATTTGCCCATTTTGTGATTACCACGCACACTGTGTGTGTGTGTGTGTGTGTGAGTGTGTCTAGCTGTGTGTTAGTGTGCATGGAAAATGCTTTCGCATGAATTTGTTGATATTTAAAATCATTGTGTGGCTGACTGATTTTTGGTTTCGACTTTCGGTCTAAACAGTGACGTTGACGGCCGCTTGGCAAATATTTGCCTAATATGTGGTTCAGGCTCTGGTTTTTGGTTTTCGGTTTCTGGCGCGAGCGGTTTTTGATTAGCTTTATTACTGTGTGCCAGCGCCGACACGCGCACCCTGTGCAGGTGGTGGTGGTGGTTCTATTGCTAGTATGAGGTATGTGTGTGTGTGTGTGTAGGACTAATTAATGTGCTCGAATTGCCTGGGTAGGGGGAGCGTTTCAGCTTATTACACAAGCGCGTCAGCCAGCYAGCTAGCTTCACTATATACACTTTTTCATATTTCGCAAGCAAAAACAAAGCGTGCGTCGAAATGTTTGTTTCCATGCTAATTAGCGGGTTAATTGGCTATAAGAACAGTCGCGAATGCTAGGCCCGTACTAAACCAATTGCCATAAGCAGCCAAGTGGCCGACACCGGCTTAAGCCAGCTTAGGCCATTGGCATTGCCTAATGCACGCAGCGGGGGGCTGCGGCGACAGCAGCGGCGGCGGTGGCTAATTGGCAACCCAACCTGGCCTAAACTATGGCTGCAAAGTGCACTTAAGTTGAGCGGCCCAAGCGTGCCATAAAATGGGCTTATATATAGGGCGCAACCCAGACGGAGAGATGGAGGGACGGAGAGTACGCCGAGCTATGGGGGCAGGTGGTAGAGGCGTAATAGGTAAAGGTATAGTTAAGCTGAAGCTAAAAGATAAGTTGCAATAGGGCGAGATAGACATAAAGAGAGAGTGAGGAAAAGGGAGAGGAAGGGAGAGAGAGAGAGAGAGGAGGGGATAGAGAGAGCGTGCAGAGAAATATATAAAACTTACCAATTCCGCCAGCCAGCACGGTGCTCGAATCCAGTTTGGCCTTCTTTGTGGCCAGATCCTGATTATTATTGTCGGAAGCGGGCGCCATGACTGCAGCTTGACTCAAAAGTTCGTCGCTTCCGCGCTGCATGGCCACGATTCACAGTTATGCGCAACAAGACACAGATGTATTCGCATTCGCATTCGCATTCGCATTGGAGACACGAGATTTGATTTATTTTATTTTATTTTTTTTTTTTTTTGTGCAGCCAGCGGTTGGTATATTTTGTAGTTGTTGTTGTAGTTGTTATGTTAATAGATTGTGGTTGTAGTTGTAGTTGATGATGCAGAGGCACAGCACAGCAGAGAAGTTAAAGATGGTTTCAGTTTATTCAGTTGAGTTGAGTTGAGTTGAATTGAATTGAATGGTAGGCAAGTAGGCAAGTAGTTGTAGTTGTGTGTGTGTAGTAGATGAAGTATATACGATTACGGTACATAAAAAGAGAAAAATAAAAGAGAAGAGAACAATATAAATATTTAATATTTACGCAAGTAAATTACAGCGAATCAGCTCAGATGAGCTCTTTGTAGTTGTTTAAGTTGGTTTTTTGTTGTTGTTGAAGTTGTAGTTGTAGTTGTTGTTATTGTTTTAGTTCATTTGTTGTTGTTATTGTTCTGTGGCTGAATTTAGAGAAATTTGAGTGGCGCCCTCAAAAGCGAGCTTTGCATTTTGTGTTCAGTAAATTGGATACGCTTGGGCGGGTTCTAGTTTAGTTTAGCTAACTAAGTCAACATAAGTGGGTGCGTTATAAATTCTATTAAATAATATACTACGGCAGGAGAGACGAGGGCAGCTTAAGCTCAGAGTGCAAAACTATTGCTACATTTTAGCATAGACTACATAAATTCACATAAGAAATTTTACTAAGCATATTTCAGAGTTTTAATTAATTTATAATTATTGATTTGGTTAATTGTATAGAAAGAAATTTTTATTATAGTTTTAAACTGTTATGGTTAGTTCAAAAATTTAC